GGCGTGGCGGAGCCGCTGTCCATCACGGTGTTCGACTACGGCACCTCGCACAAGACGCAGCAGCAGCTGCTCGCCATCGTGCAGAAGAACTTCGATCTGCGCCCCGGGAAGATCGTCAAGTGAGTGCTCGACATATATATACATATCGACGGATGGAAAGCTTTTTGTTTCAACCGCCATTTTATGCGATATTGACTTATGTATATGGTATATTCAGAATCGGCCAATTTTAAAAATAATGCAGTATGCAGAATTATAGTACAGTAGAACCTCGATAAGCTTAAGTCCAAAGGAAACACAAAATGTTTTACGTTATAGAGGTATGGTAGATTCAATGTAAATGACAAAATGTATTCATAACTCATCTAACATTTTAGAAAGTGAGTTCAAATTGATGATACATGCTTGTCTGTTTTAAATAAGTCAATGTACAACCTTATAAACGTAAAATTGTTTAGATATTTTGGTTATAATTTCTCATTCATAAGATAAAAATTTTCTAACGCCGGGGTCCAAAAATAAGCGTATTCTTATTTAAATTATATTATAAACAGCGGTTTATAAATGGTTTCTCAATATTAGTAATAAAAAAAAATATATCACAGATAAATAACCTTTTGTATTGGTAAAATAATTTTAAAAATCATGCCCAGTAGTTTTTGCGGGAATGAAATACATACAAAAATACAAATCTTTTCTCTTTATAATATTGGTATAGATAGTGATATGACCACCAACAACAGGAAAAATATTATGGTACGGCAAAATAGGCAAGCTTTTGTCATTTTGCTTATGCATTTTCTGGTATTTAGTACTGTAGTATGTTATAACACATAATATAAAGAATGTTATCTCGATAAACTGGTTTAGGTTGGCTTAATTGTCTAGATTGACCTAAAAACTGGTCTAGATCGATTGAATTAAATACAAAACCTTGAAGTAGTAAAGCTTAATATCAACTACATTTAGTCGATTATTTCAATTTGTCGATTTACGATTTATGTACCTTTGTTTTAGAACTGTACTGTTTAATAAAATATTTGTAGTCGAAATCAAGCGAAACGAGAAATTATGACAACTATATAAACCTTTAATCAATAGACTTTTTAATACACATGTATGTATCAAAATGAAACTAAAGCTCCCTAAAATTAATCATGTTAATGCGAAAGTTTAGATTGATGGATATTTGTAACTAAGTATTTACAGAACGGGTAAATGGATCTCTATGAAATCATACTTCATACTAATATAAATGCCAAAGTTTAAATGGATGTTTGTTAAAGTTTGTAGCCTGAAAGGCTAAACAGATTTCGATGAAATTTGCCATAGATGTAGGGGATAGTCTGGAAAAACACATATGCTATTCGCTTTTGTTTCTTTTTATTCCGCGCAGACGGAATCGCGGGCGAAAGCTACTTTGATATAAATGTAAACTTTGGAAGACAACAGGCAAATTACTAACCTTTATTCATTCCTCGTTGGACAAAAGCTAGTTAGGTAATAAATGGCAGTGAATGTAATATCTGATTCCCTTGAATTGAACCGTTCTTAACTGTATTTCCAGGGAGCTGAACCTGAAGGCGCCGATCTACCAGAAGACGAGTACGTACGGGCACTTCGGGCGGGAGGGCTTCCCCTGGGAGACGCCCAAGCCGCTCGTCGTAGATTGACTTGCACCAACATCTAGCACCTTGTAAATATTCCACCAGTATCTTTAAACACTTCATCTACGTGTGTTGTAGCGAGAGCACGGAGATAATATCGCTGTCTCTCTATAGGCTATTGTTAATGCGACGAAATCTCGCGAATGAAACTGCCATTGCGTGGGAGTGGTCAATGCACGGACCTCTTGCGTTCCTGTTGCTACCGTATTATTTATATTTACAATTCATAAGTATCCAGTTTTATTACGGTTTCAATATGTAATATGTAACTGTTTTATATGGTAACACTTTTGTTTTATACTTGTGAAATATTTTTTTTTAATTGTTCATTTCGTTAATTTTGAATTTTAACAACCAATGAAATAATTGTAATATGTTTTAATTATCTAATTATTGTGATTTCTGTATTTAGATTTTGTTGTCATATTTTTTTGTAAAAGAAATAATGTTTTGACATGAAAGTATTGTATGAAAAAGTAAGGCTACGGAATGTGCGGCGGTCCGTGCGGAGGTTGCATTTGCGCGATTCAGTGTATGTAATAGTTAAGTATTGGTTAGTTTAGTTGCGTAGGCGTAACGGAGCCGTCATTTGTGAGTTTGAGTTAGTTCCGCTCTCAGCGGCAGTTCTATCATTTGAGGCGCCGTGTCGCCTCTGTGGCCATTTATATATCAAATCATGCCTCTATGTCATCTGTATATGATGTCGACCGAATGTATAGGCCCTTACGACCAGCCGTTACATGATTTTTTATATTCGTGGCATAGCAGATATAAAGGAATGTCACAAAATATACTCAACATTGAGTTTTGTGTCATCCGAGCTGTATCATAAAATTTGTCATCTATGAATTTGTCAGATAGTGCTGTCCTGCTCGTGACAGGGTTCATACATGTTCCTTGACCAAAAGACATCATGAAATGTTAGAATAATAAGTATTATGTCTCCTAATTTACCTGCATGTGATATGTCAATGCCATTTACCTACATTTAATGGATTTATTTGTACAGTTTTCATTTGCACGTGGCGTCCTATTTATTATATAGCGTACATATGACAATTTTAATGTTTTAATTCCTTTTTAAAGCGATTCATAAGTCATCGGTTTTTAATGAATTTGTCAAATAGAAGTAAGGGCCTATGATAATGATTTTTTTTGCTATAAAAAGTTTTCGACTTGAATGATGAACTGCCATAATCTCGAATGTTGTACTGTGAGCTTTATGTTAAGTGTTACACGCGGTAGAGTAGACTACTGGCCGCGGCGCGTCACAGCGGGCCGAGGGCGCTCTGGAACGTTTTCACGTTCCCGTACGTTCTCGTACGTTCTCGTCCCACTGCAAACGTCGTGCCGCGCGGCGGGGACACCACTTTTATTTTAAGTCTAGATAAGTGTCAGTGAATTTTGTCTCCTTTTTAAAATGAAATCTTAGCCAATTATTGTCACCCCACCGTGCGGTACATTTTGTGTTGTGTTTCCGAAAAGGATCATAGTGGAAAAGAGCCATTTTGAAAGCACACCGACTCGCCCCGGGCAGTAGTGCACTGTGCATTTATTACACACGAACACGCCTCTAGGCGCATTGGAAACTTGACATTTTATGAAATTAGAACTAAACTTAGGAAATTTGATTATTCGTAGGACGGGTAGCGAGTACTTTGATTATATTTTTGGATCTGTATCGACCCGTTAAAATTCTTATTAACTTGCTGTGTATTTTGAATTTGTCTAAATGTGAAATTTCGACTAATAATAAATAAATTGCATTCCCGTCCCATCGGGATAAAGTGGTTTTTTTTCTTTACTCCTGTCCCATAGATATTAAGTGCAAAAATATTAAAATAATTCATAACAATATAAAGCTATATATGGTAATAAATTAAAGAAAATTTTATAAACAAAATACGCATATAAATCAAATATATAAAGTTCTATTTATTTACAACATAACAAGGAGGTTTAAGAGAGCCAACGCGCCACCAGTCTTCTGGCGGCTTGCTGCACGCGCGTCATTTGTATGGTGTCTGTGCTCAGCCAGCCCTGCATGTCGAAACAGTGTGACGCCCTGCATGTACAAAAAATATACAATGAAGTACTGATCGTTATACGGTAGTAATCGTACTAGTATCTCAAACTTCAGAAGAAAAAGTATTGTCCGATAACCTTATAAGATAGATATATGCCATCTCGGACTTGTATCACTTTATGTAGGTCCTATAGTTAAGTCTACGTAAACCCTTAAAGCGAAATTGTCCTAATTTCAACACACTTCTCGGCACTCTAAGAGATACACAAAAACTGAAGTTCATTCTTTTACCTCGGCACTGTGTAGGTCGGAGAACTATCTTTTAAATCCCTGTCGTAGACACCGAGAGCATGCCAAGGGTCTATTGTGCCGTGAATGTTGATCGTGTTGTTTACATCGGGCTTCAAACCACCGAATACTAAGTTGACCCGATCCACTGCATCGTAGACGAACGCCTCGTCAAATCTAAAACAAAGTGAGGCCTGAATAACAATCAACAAACAAGTTAGTTACGTCAGAATCCGCCCTATACGTTTTACTTACAATATATAATCGTGTTAGTCTACAGATGATATATGAAAGAAATTCTTACTAATACGGTTGCAATGTGAATTAATAGTGTTCTCCTTAGGATATATACTTTTAACGGTACCTCTGGTCATAAACCTGCTTGCACACTTCAACATAAAATGCAACGTCGAGCCATTTCAACTGATCGAACACCGTGCCCGATTTCGGGGCTATCTGGAAATACCCGTACTCCGTACACGTCTGGTAATACCACGCTCTTGCTGAAATAAAATACTTAGTTAAAAAGCAACTAGTAATACCTTTTGCTCTTAGTAAAAAGTGTAGAACTTATTTCAAAACGATTTAACGCTGTGACTTGCAGTTTAATTCATGTCATTGAAAATAATTCAAGAAATATGTATCTAATGAAGAGAGCACTGAGCTCAAATCGGTTGTCTTTATTGAAACAAATTTTGTGTTGTCATATACGCTCTATAACTGAAGGCCCAATTAAATTGTAAATACTTACAAATGGAAGTGGTATTATAAGATCTTAGAAAGGTTTCGAATCCAGTGGCCCAACACGATCCTAGGTTTTGGGTCGAGGCTATGTAGCCGCCTATTTTTTCCATCGGAGTTTCTCCTGCAAAGAAATTAGCGATATTTAGTATTGCTGCTTTAACATTCTTATTATGTCTTGTTGTGGATGCCATATTACCATAAACATTTGTTGCGAAGTTGTTGCATATTGCTAAAAGGGTGCCAGGGCGTGCACGTTGCACTGATCCGGAGAATGTCCACGTAATAAGCCCCGAGAAGTAGCCGAGATCGAGCTCGTTGTCATAGTTCAAAGGATTACATAGCCTATAAACAAAACGTAGTAAAAATAAGAGTTAAGTAATAATTTGAATTTGTGATTAATATTAAATTTAAGTTTGCCTTACCTGTACGCTTGTTGAATCGATTGCCGGCCCAGTACGTTGTCCATTGCGGCAATTGTATCAGAAATTCCCTGTCTTATAGTCGATATACATTGCTCGCCGCCTTCCGATTTAAATGCTTCGTGAACCACCTCCAAATACCCTGAAAACATTGAGTTTTTGATGACAGGTTAAAATTATTATTATTATTAAAATGTTAATATAAATTCTAAGAAATAATATATCTATTTGTAAAACTCTTTCATTTCTCCTACCTACTCATAATTTTACCAAAGTTTTATTTTTCTCTTTTCCTAAAAAAAGTCGAAAGATGAAAATAGGGCCCAGCTTGGTCGTTCGAGGAAAATATTTTCTACTATCACGCAAGGACCGGGGTCCACGTTCTGAGATTGTATTCCCTTATCTAGATATCTTCATAAACTTCACTAGTTTATTGACAGTTTTGTATACTAAAGTACTTTTTTATCCGTCCAATTCGCTTGCGATGGTATTCCTTTTAAGTTTTCTAGATCGTTGGTATGGTAAATAACATTTCATTTAATTAATTTAACAAATAAAGTAAAGAATTTACCAGCAAAATCAACTTTCCCCTTGATAGGGCCACTGGAAGCGACAGCACCTTCCACCAAGTGAGGATATCGCTGTTTGAACCACAGCGCCATGTTGGCGGCGTACGAGCCGCCGTACAAAATAATCTTACTGTTCGCGAAGCGTTCTTGCTTTTTCAATTCCAATATAAAATATGCGATGTCCGCTAAAGCTTGGTCTACATTCAGAAATCTTAAGTTCTCAGTCGTAAATTCTCTGTAAGTATACACAAAATTATAAATGATGATTGGATCACAATCGTAATTAGAACTCAGCTTAACAAATACAAAATTTACGATAAGTAATTAGTTCACTTCTGGACTGGCTTTTTATAGTCTTATTTCATACCTTATCCTACTAATATTACAAAAGCTTGGAATGATGGTTGAATGGATGTTTCTTAGAGTTTGTATGCTAAACTGCTGAACGGATCTCGACGAAATTTGGAATAGATGTAGAGGATAGTCTGGAAGAACACAGAGGCTACTTGCTTTTATTATTTTACTTACATTCCACGCTGACGGAGTCGCGGGAAAAAGCTAGTTAACAATAAAAGGAACTAACGTATAAGGCAACGTCTCCCCATAGTAGCGATGTTCTGTATAAATAAGGTATCCTTGATTCTCCTGCGCCATGAGGTACATGTTCCCGGCGCGCAGCCAGCCCGGGGCGATGGCCCACTCGCCGCCTACCATAATGAACACCGGCTTGCCTGCGCCACCGAAGAATTCCTCGTTGAACATGAACCGCTGAAATCACACAAACACACACGTCAGACAAACGGCCGTATACTGAAATGTCATGTGAATAAGTAACGCACTTTTAAACGATTAGGCGACGCTAAAACTTCAAATTCTAACATTAGTCTATCAGATAGAAAGTAGCGCTATCGAAAGGAAGTATTTAAGATTCGTTTGTTCCTAAGAATATGCATTGCTGGAACATGACTTGAATCATCCAGCGCACTCCTTAAATCAGACCAGATTAGGTCTCATTGTTATCATTTAGTGTCTTCATTAAAAATGATGTGAGATGAACTGTTTCTTCTAATAACGTTAGTTGTCTTTAGTATTGTACTATTTTATATCGGAGAAGAAATCAAAGGAAAGTAACTGCTGATGACAAAGTGTTTTTAAAGTTATATTTTTAAGGAACAAAAGTAATGTTTTATTTAAAACTATGCAGATTTGTTTAATTCTTTACTAACCATTTGGAATGTATCTCTATTCTGTGGGTCGAAGTGGTCTACCGGCATCGTTATCCAGCTGGTGAGAACATTTCTTGTATTAAGATTGTTCGACACTGGTGGCTCCAATTCCACTCGTATGGGGGGCTCGAGAACACGCGGCTCGGCACAACAGAACGTCACCAAGCATGATAGTAGCAGAATTCTCTGAAACAACAAACCTTAAATCATTTTATGTTGTTGTAGGTTCTGACTATTTACATTTATCTTAACCTACTATTTGCATGCGGTAAATAAAATGTAAATGTTGTGTGTGTTTTGTACATCAACGTCAACAATCACTATCTTAGGTCTTAGACCATTAATCTGCTTTGTCTTTCAACCTGTACTCGTAGAATGTTTTAAAACATGTCACAGGTTTTCTTTAACTTCCTTTTACTACACTATTTTTCACTTTTGCTGTAAAATAATTTCGACGCAAAATGTAAGTGACTATGTTTGAGTGGCAAAAATAGTTCTGATATGTTTAATAATTTTCACTTAAAGGCAAATAAACTTAAACATTTACCATTTCGAGTTCCAAATTTCACGAGCGTGTTGTGAAAATTCACGTTTATTACTATGATATCAACAAATTATCTGTTTGATTGGCATTGATAAGAACACAATGGGTATATCGTTTAAAAAGATTAATTACATGTACAAGTAAGTACACTTTAGTATTGAGATATTAGAATTTCATCCATCAATATTATAGATGTTCAAGAACTTCATAGTCCTTAATGATTTTTGCTTTTATCTAAAATAAGCTTATAGTTTTGTCCAATTTGATCAATTCAACAACATCTAATCAATGTAAATTATAATCTTAGTTGTTTTACAATAATTGATAACTTATCTAACCTTATCCAAGTCCTATTTCTTAGTGTTACAAACTCCACTGTCTTCTAGTTATTGTCTTACCTACCCTTATAACAATGTTATTTTTCTGTAGTATTTTATAAAAAAACAATACAAATCATAAATGTTTAGTAATGTCTAATAAATTCTAGCGTAGAGAAACATCCTGTTACATCTTCCTTTGCAGGTGTGAAGATTAATAAAAATATGTCAATAAAATATTGAATTGATTACGGCCCTATTTCTAACCGCATTTTATTAAAAATGCTTAAGAAAAAGTAACAAAGATTATTGTTATGTATTCATAATATCACCATAAGAATTTCGAGCGGTAGTTTGATATATACTGACTGGGTTGCCTCAATAATTTTAGGTTAATAGTGGGTATATCGTATCTTTATGTATCCTACCATATAGTGTTGCTTTAATCGACTAACTACAATTATTAGTCTTCCAACTGCCAACAGTAAGCACCGAATCTAGTCGGTGACGTCACGGGAAGATTATACGTGAGTTGAACCATTTTAATTCGTTTACCAAGAGTAAGCACCACTACCATTATCTTAATCCTATCCTATTAACTTCTATACTAATGTTATAAAGATGATAGATTTGTATTTTTGTATTCATTGAAATATATCAAAAACTACTGGACCGATTTTAAAGATTCTTCGCCCATTAAAAAGCTACGTTATCATTAAGTATCATAGGCTATGTTTTTTACTATTTTTGGATTTTTGTTTGTTTTGAAATAACTCGAAAACTACAATTCCGATTTTAAAAATTCTTCCACCGTTAAAAAGCTACGATATTATTGAGTAACATTAGTTATGTTTTACTATTTTTTTTTACTCTATGTGGACAAAGTCGCGAGCAACAGCTAGGTATTAGATGTAGAAATTGCTCCTTGTGATTTGCAAATAAATTAGTATTTTAACATAAGGTATCATGATTAGTATTTTGTATTATAAACACGTCAAGGTCGAAGCATGGTCTACTAGTGTATTCAAATGTATCGATTTATATAATATGTTCGCAAGATTCCAGGTGACGGATTACTGTACTTTGGCAATAATAGAACAATGGTAAAACATAAACTAAAAAATTATCAAACCTATTGTTCTGAAATTCTGTAAAACATGTATACAGTCGCGTATACGAATCAAATCTAAGATAGACCGCTAGATGGCGCAACAATCTATCAATGTACATGTAAATGTCTTCGGCGAGATCGATAGTCCGTCCTAGCGGGTTCTAATCCTGCCATTGCATTATTGTAAACTTATTTAAGGGCCTGCCCCACTAAATTGTAAATTGTCTGATAATAATCCAACGTATATAATATCGGATTTTGTTCCCTTGTCTGACAGTGACGTCATTTTTAATTTATCTGAGCCTCTATCAGCCAATGGTGGGACAGGCCCTAAATGAAATATTAGTAAATTACCTACTTATTACTAAACCAGTATGAGCACCAAATTATATACATCAATTTCTCATTTTAACCAAGGCTTAAATAATTAGGCATAAATTACATTGATTAAATTACTTACAGTTAAAAAAATGACTTTGTATTCACATCAAAGTTGTGCAGACATAGAATTTGACTAATTTGAAATATTATGCATTACACAAGTAACTTGGACATTGTATTCGAACGGTCCCTTGACTGTGCTTAGTATGATGACCATTGCGTTCGGAATATCCTGGACAAAAACAGGAACTTTACAAAAAACCCTTTAACATCTCTCAGTTATAAAGGTGTATAAATATTAATTAAAAACATAATTTGTTTACATAACACATTATAGTAACAAATGAAATAATAAATAAACATATGTATAAGTTATTGCAAGTTCACATTATTTATTGTTCAATTTACCATAAATATTCGAATATTTAATTTCTGTTATGAACATATTTATCTCATATCCTGTAATTATTTTATTAAAGATTCACTCATACATATGTATTTAAATCCCTTTGGCACAGTGGTTAATGGTCGCGTGTCCAAGTTCTAATTCTAGCCGGGGCCAGAGTATCTAATAAGTGTATTTGACTTCATACAAGTCGCATTTTATATATATTTGATAACTAAAAAATCTTATTTTATCGAAGTTGAAAAAATTCGAGTGCGCTCACATCTTTTACTAAACTATCGCACAACTTTTTAGTCGCGCTTTCATTTCTATAAGCTTGTATGGAGATGTGCACATTACTTTAGTTGTGCAACTAAACAGTTTAATTGGCTGCGAAACAATCGATAATTGCAGAACAGTTGTGCGATAATTTTGTCAAAGGTGTGAGCCTCTGAAAGGTTTTTTTTAATGTCAACTTTCTGATATTTATCATAAGTACAATATAATATAGGTAAACCATTGTTACTCATCCGTAAAGGTATCGAAATTACAGCCTAAGTGGGTCAGTATTATGGTCACTTGTACGCGAGTGACTCATGACTTTGTGTTCAGTGTAAATGGCCGCTGCACTCGATTTTTTTGCGGCAAATTATTCAATTCACAAGAAATTTTAACTGGAACCTCTCAATACGCACGCGATCTCATTAACAACTCAGCATGAAATGTTTTCCTGTTAATAAGGAACAGATTTGTGGTGTTCTAGTAACCTCCTTTGCTTCACTACATAGTATAAAACAAAGTCGCTTCCCGCTGTCTGCCTGTCCATGTGTACCTATGCAATCTTTAAAACTTAGAAAAGGATTTTGATGTAGGATTTTTTAATAGATAGTGTCATTCAAGAGAAACGTTAACATGTATTTCGCTTGCGCCCACGACTCCGTCCACGTGGAA